CCCCCCTGCCGGCCCAAATCGCCGCCTGGGGTGGGTTGGCAATTTGTCCGACAAAATCCCTGAAAGTAGGCGACCCACAGCAAATCACCCCCTCCGTCAGACGGACTCCAAACCAAACCGCGCCTGCTACAGCAAAGAATTACTAATCTATTTTTGTCTACTTCGTATATAGTTTCGTTATAAAGTAATAATAAAATCAAATTGTGTGTAGTACAAAAGGGATTAATAGTACTGAAAGGAAACTAGCCAGTATTCCTACTGATTAATGTAATAAGCACTAACAAAGGGCGGAGGGCGGTAAAAAAAATCAGTTACTGGATGACAGTGAGATGATTTACCTTTCAAACCCAAGTCCTCGTAATGTTCATTATTTTTTGCCCTTCAGCTGTATCCTCCTGACTTCTTCGATGGAAAGTTGTGGCAGTGTATGTTTAGTGGCTCACGTGTGCACCAGGTGAGTTACAAACATCTACATTTTTTTTTTTTTAAATATAACAAAACTAATGTTACGTTGGTCTTGACGCAAAACGCGGAGATGAACATCGCCTCTCACCCTCCTCCGACTATCCAAGGAGATCAAACAGCGGTTACTTTGAGACAAAAAACCTCCGCTAGCCCCGAATGGCTACACTGTGAAAAATGTTTTGGTATATGTAAGACATATTTTGCAATCTACACTCAGACCGTTTCTAAATATTTTTTTTTTTTTTGAACGACGTACTCCTTTGTACAGCTGCAGTTATACTCGAAAATTTTGTGCTTAATACGAATTACTTTTGAAAATTCTTACGTACAAAGTTTTTATTTAGTTAAGTTAAAGTCCACTATGAAAGTGATTGTTCTGAAGTACGAACTGAATTTTCAATACTAGTCACAAAATTTGTGAGTAGCTACTGCTGCACATAGAATTTTGTGTTCACTAAGAATAAAGTCAGTTACTGGCTGAGAGTACTATTTACAATATATGCCCTTATTTGATAACGTCCCACTCTTGCTCATCATTCGATATCAAGTCGATACGCAGTGCTAACAAATTTACAATTTCGATAGCTGTAGTAGCTCTACGGCATTATTCCATCAATGCAAAATTTTCCTGTACCCGGTACGACAATCTCACAGTGAAGATACTCCTAGAAAAACAAGGATGCAAAGTCCTACATATTAGAGCCAAAAAAGGTTAGTGTCTTTCAAAGTGAAACTGCCAAAGGTACGAAACCTTTCGGGCTCTTTTGCGCTTTTATGGGGGGTTTTCAAAATAAGCGACATATTTGGCCTCCTAAAATCTCAACAAAAAATTATTTTTGAGATTTTTTTTTTTGGGTGGGGTCTGTTTGGGCCTGTCCCCTGACCACATCCTGAAGATACCAGAGCTCCCTCTGCAGAATTCTCGAAAATGTAGGTAACACCCGTGTAAAATCGGTTGTACGGAAGTTACACAGCTGTGCGAAAGTTCCATAAGTACGGAAGTTACATTTTCATAAAATAGGCAGTTTCAAGCAGATCCTTGGTGATATGAGTACCGGACAAAATCAGAAATTTTACGAGACATAAAATGTATGCTCAGATAAAAGGAATGATTTCTGTGCGACAAAAATTGGCGGAGCTACGAGCCGTACGGAATGTTACAGGTATGCTTTTAAAAACCCAGAATTTAACATTCAAACGCCTCTAGTTCACTTACCGTTTACTTCTCAAAGCCGCCCATACCTGAAATTGACAGCTCTGATCTTACCGGAGACTGGGACACCAGTGCTACCAATGTCTGTAGCCACGGGGACTGCTCAGAGCGCAAACTTTTGAATGGGTCCTTCCCTTCCGTCACTCTGGAGGACATTTTTTGGGCAGCTGCCCTGACCAGTGTATTTGCGACAGTAGTTAGCGATTCGAATATGCTGCACAGAAAACATGGAGGAACGCGTAGAAGCTTCCGGATTTTCTCTCCGACGAAGACTTGTGAAGATATAGCTGTCCAAAGTTAAGGTTTTAGCGCGGACGACAGTACGGAAGTTACATTTTGACTACTTCCTAAGGAATTTCGATTACTTTCACCGCTGACATTGCCTTTTTTGTACTAAAAGTTAATTCGCCACCTTCCCCCGAATCAAATAAGCCAAATGGCATCGAAAACGACAGAAAAATAACGATTCTACTTCCAAAAGACACAAATATGTCGCTTATTTTGAAAACCTCCCTTATAGAGGTTGAAAGTTAATGTTCCACTCGTGGAAAGGCACGGCACCTTTGTTTTTCTAGTAGAAGATTTTGTTCCTTTGAATCTCTTTACAAGTCATCCATAAGAATTTAAAACGAATTTGACATTTTCGTACTATCCGATTTACCTCTTTTCCATTCTACCCTCTTTTAACCGAACCTTTGTCTTGTGAGATCACCGGAGATCATAGAAAGTTTTCTTCGCAGGACTCTGATGACGACCTCGTTGTGGACACACTCGTGTGCATATCAGGTCATGGAACTGATTTATGCGAGTGTTGTGGTGTATCAAAGAACTCCATCAACTTGGTCGATGACCAATGCTGACCATATTGGCCTGTGATGGCTTCAGGAGAGATGAGTTTCGTACTTGAACAGCCTTGTGCTGAACGTTGACTTTCCTAGTACAAACTAATTTTGTATTGTAAGGAAACTGTGCCTCTGTTTTTTTTATTTGCCCTTTTTTACTAAAAAGACCAATGTCAATTATTTTTTTTTTTTTCTGATATGGGTTGTAAAATATGAACAGTATCTATTGTACCAGATCACATTCTTATACCTCGTTATGAATAAAGAGTTAGCGAAAAGAAATTTTGATACTAAATTCTCTCACGATATCTTGTGTGTGCCTTCTGAGGCGGAAACGAGTGTACTGTACCCCTCTCGGCAGTTCGATCAGGTCGGTTCGTAAACGCACACTCGATTTTGAACCAATTCCCTTCTGTTTCTTGGCAACTTGCCAGTATCACATGAACCGGCATGGAAACAGATGGTATCAGCAGTGTGTCATCTCGCTGATCTGATGACAAACGGATGACAAACTGATGACAATCCACGGTGAAATTTGCTGGTAAAAATCATTTTGCGTAACAGTTTTATACAAATTACTTTGAGTAATAGCTCTTTCACCTGTTACTTTGTTTAACAAAATTATTTTTATTGTTGATTGCGATGGTTATAACTCCCCTTTGAAGTGTACACATGATTCCCGAAAAACTTGATTTCCAGTGATTTCCGTCCGATATATTGACTCGTTAGGTTTTCTAGTAGCTGAAAACGCTTATTTCAACTAATTTATACCAGTTCCATTAGTTTCCCGCTTAGTTTAATCTGTTTCTGTTGATTTCGATTGATTTTTATTTTGATGATTCCCAGGCAGGTGTACACATGATTCCCGGAGTTCTTGCCCACCCGCTTTATTGTAAATGCGTCCCCTGCATAAGTAGCAGTGAAACAGCTGTCCCGGGTTTTACTTTATTCAACATTTGTTACATACACCACTTTGTGTAACAATGGTAGCGGTAGCGTAAAATTATGAATGTAACAACTGTTGTACACATACACACACGTGTTGTTACATAGAGTAACTTTCAGTGTACTTGCCATCTCGTGCTTTCGTTTAGTCTGCCACATGAAGCATGTAATTTAAAGGGCTGTTAAAGCACTACTTTCCTATTTTAAAGATTTCGCAATTGCATGGTAATCACGAACTCTGGCTGGTCGAGCGGTCTGGCCCGGTCTGGCCCGGTGACAAACGGAACTGTCAGCCGGATGCCACTCGCCTCGGCCAGAGCAGCAGGCCACGCGCTCAGAGCGCTCCGGTGCTCGTCGTCAGGGGGCAGACCTGTGAAATGTAAGGGTTTGCAAGTAACGTCACTGCATAACCACACGCTGCGCCGCATCGATTAAGGATTAAAGTTGTATTAAAATCGTCATGAATCGACGCTACTTTTGCCGTTGCCCTTTGTACTCACATTCTCCAGGAACATGCCGATCTTCGCCTTCAAATGGAACGATGCAGTCCTCGGTGTGCACGGTCGCAGCAACAGATGGGTCTGCGACGGTCAAGGAAATTGCAAGTTACTCTTGAAAGATGCCCCTTGTGATTGACCTGGGGCTTTTTCAAATTTCGAAATCGGAGTACTCGGGAAAAAAAATCACGGTAATAGTATAGAACAGTGACTCAGAGCCGATGAGTCACTCTTCTATACCATTGGAAAGGACTTTCTGAGTATAATGCTGAACACTTTCAATTTATTGGCGCTCGAGTCTGGTTTTCCGGAAAATTAAATAAATATACCTCGCCGCTAACCTTCAGACGGACTTTGAACACGACAGAATAACTTACGTTTACGGCTAGTCCTGACATTGATCGGGCCGGCTGGGGTTTTTAAAACATTGCTCATGGATCAAAGACTACGCCTGATTCAAAATATCAGTATTTCTCTCTCTATCGTTGCTTAGATCACAGTTTCCACGCTTCTCCAAAAATGCCGTCTGCTCGGGGTGGTCCTGCCCAGAAAGTCTTTTGTCTTTTGTCATGTCCAAGGAGCAAATCGCTAGGGCCGCAGACCCCCCGCCGGAAGCCTTAGTTTATAAAAAAAATGTAAATTGACTTACAGGTCACATTATTTGATTATGTTCTTCAGTAAATCGCGTGACCTAAACGGTCGGGCCGCGGGCCCGACCATCGCCGCCGGCAGGCCAAGCAGGCCCGGCCCCTGCCGAACGGAGTTGTCGGCGAATTGGAGCTGGCAACTCCGTTTGGCGGAAGGGCGGGCCTTCTTGTTTGCTCCTACTGCGACAGCAGGCTGATACAGAATTCCGTTCCAATAGGAAACAAGCAGGCCCGCCCTTCCGCCAAACGGAGTTGCCAGCTCCACTTCGCTGCGCCGGCAACTCCGTTCGGCAGGGGCCGGGCCTGCTTGGCCTGCCGGCGGCGATGGTCGGGCCTGCGGCCCGACCATTTCAGTCTCGCGATTTACTGAAGTGCATAATGAAATAAATAATGTGACCGGTAAATTACTTTGCATATTTGAGTAAACTAAAGCGTTCGGCTGGGGGCCTGCGGCCCTAGAGATTTGCTCCTTGGAAATGACAAAAGACTGTAACGGGGCAACACCGTGACTACACCCCACCCTTCTGCTTTGCTTAAAAATTTAAAAAAAAATTAACCCGCGCAGTTTTTAGATTGTATATTGTTTGTCAAAGAGTCTTATAACTTGACTTTCTGCCATTATTTTTAATATATCCACTTCTAGGGCCGAAACAGTAAAAGATACGGCTAATGCGAGGGTAGTTCTTGATTCAGAACGTGTTGTTTTGGGGGTGTACTTCCTCTGACATTTTACGATTGGACGCCTCCTTGCACGTCTTTATGTGCAACGTGGTTATTTTCGCCGTATTTTCGTCGAAAAAAGCACTCTAGCGCCCAAACGGTTCAAGATAGCGTCAAACGGGCAAAATTTTCGCCCAGAGGGCTCTACTTTCACGACTTACCCCTTAGGAGACCATAAAAAAAATATTTTTTTTCTACTTTTTGGACCAACCCCTATTTCTTTGTTACCCCCTTTCACCCCCTTAGGGGTGGTTGCTAGGATTTGCACCAGGCGTTTCGTTGTCCAGGAGTGACCCCTAAGATACCCTGAAATTTGCAGACCTCTAGCTCATCTCCTTCCTCTTACACGGACGACGGACAGACAGACAGACAGACAGACGGACGGACGGACACGAGAGCGGTTGCATAAGCCCGCTTTATTGCTTTTTTAAAAGCAGAAGGGCGGGCTACAAAAAACAGTTTGGTGCACTCTCATTTTCCTATGGATGTGCTATCCGTATGTTATGGAGAATTTTGTGCTAACATATTATGGATCACAAATTATCCATAGTATGGATAAAATTGTCCGTATTGCAGACAATTTGATCCATATTACAGACATGCCCTCCTCCGTAAGGTATAGACCTTTCGTCCATACCCTACGGATGTAGGCATGTCTGTAATATGGATCAAATTGTCTGTAATACGGACAATTATATCCATATTATGGATAATTTGTGATCCATAATATGTTAGCACAAAATTCACCGTAAGCGTGTCCACAAGGAAATGAGAGTGTGATGGAATCATTTTTCTCAGTTCGTATATCGCACCCTCGATCGCACCGATAGTCCGCATCTTTTTTTCATACTGCTTTCCTACAGTCGTACGACAAATATGGGCTACTAGGGAAAAGAAGTTTCCGTGTTAAGAAGACCTCAGTTTGTTACGGACGGAGGATCTGGAACTGCCACAATACAAGTACCCCAGTTCGTAGTATGTGAAGATATGTATGTCTTCATAATACGAAGAATATCTAACATTGGTATGGTACTCACAGGTCACAGCCAATAAATATTTACCGTCGGACTCATGGCACATTGCGTACAATTGTTCAAGGTAAGTTACTGATAATTTTCATTTAAGAGCATTTTGTTCTATAGTAGTACTCCAGTGTTACTTTAATTTGAACCGTGTTTATAGGACATAAAAACGATCTCACCTCTAATTTTTTAAATAAATCAAACTTTTTTTCCGTTAATAATCTGTTTGACATGGATCAAAACCCCTGTGTCAGTTTACAGTACTTTAAATTCTGATCCAAGAAAACCTTGTGGGAGAATTTTGAACCCAATAGAGCTAAAAAAAATCATGCGGGCAAACTTTTAAGTCAAAGAATTAACTTTTCCCTGCGCTTTCTGGGACCAAACAGATACTTCCATACATACAATAGGCCCGGTCATCGAGGGGTCATGATACCTTTCGCAAATTCGACATACGGGAAAATGATGCCCGTCCTACCAAAAAAAAAATTAAAAAAAATGCAAAAATTGTAAAAAAATTGTCGGATAGACTCTAAGGGTCCCTACAGGGCCGTTCTGACTCAGCTTAGGCAACCCGCATTACATAGTCACTTTTCCTCTATTTCCACGCTTAAAATCGAGGTTTTGAAGGTTTCTTTAGGGTGCAGTAAATGGTGTCTACCTTGGCGAGTCATGTAGGAAGCATTCCGAGCTGTGACCCTACTGATTCCGCTAAACTAGGCCCCCCAAAAGGTAACAAATTCACATATTTTAGCAAAATATGAACATGTGAAATGTATAAATCACGAATCTGAGAACCAAAATAATAAAAGATAATTGGGTCCTAATCATACCCACCACCCCTACCCCTTCTTGCTTTCACCTCCCCACCCCTCCCCACTCCTTCCACCCACACAATTGGAGCAGGTGCGACAAAGACTTAAAAGAACATTCTTCATTGATCAGCGCGACGAGTTGCAGCTCTTTGCTCACCCAGAATGTAATGTGAATACATCGCTGATTCACAAACCAGGGCTCACGACGAGGACTTGGCTGCAAGACGAGTATCCTGCCCCTCCCGCCCTCCCACTTTCACCCATGGACCCTTTTACCGTTGCATTTGTTTAAGTAGTAGTCCTCTCTCGGACGAACTCGGGTACAAGCTTACTTGGAGGCGCTCTTCATTCTGATGTTGTCGCCCCGGTCATCCGGCGGAGACGTTTTGTGCCACTCTGTCACCATAATAAACGATTTTGGACACTTCAGGACATTTAACGGAATTACGGCATATGCAGCGGTTATTGTAGTCTTCCTCAATGCTTCTTCTGGTTTTAATTGACTTTTGCAGTTGATTGTACGCCGTAAATATGTAATCATACTCAAATTCTGACTCTTGATGTATCTAAGGATGCCTACATCATCGTCGCTAGCCTTTACTGGTAGCAGCATAGAAGGTTTTGTTGCGTGCAGTA